GAGGCATGGACGTCACAATATCATTAACTCATATCATATCTGAAAATGTTACCAGTGCGTTTTATTCCAATCCACTTACTTCATAATCTGTGTTTTTTAAAAGCTTTCTTGTACAAAGAGGAAGAATAATAAACTAATTTGGTAGTTTCGGTAAGCATTTTGTATTTCATAAACGTTTATTTTTAATTGGCATGCCTTTATAATCTAATACAAATGCGGGAATGTAGGCTGGATTTCAAATGACTAAAATCCCTGCCACAAACATTCTTCAACAAATTAAAAATGAGAACATGTAGATATTTTTAGAGTTATTCTAGATGTCCTAATGACCATTCACAATTGGCCGAAGTGCATTTTTAGTAATCGCCTTCTTATGTCGAGACCGACCCTAAAGCGTGTCTTGTGTATTAACATATGTCTCTTGTTATGCTGCATCCATTTACACATCGTGAAGGAATTAAATTGCTTTGGGCCTGTAACTTTCTAATGAGAAAATAAGAAACGGTATTAAAGACACTTAATGTCCCTCAGTTAATGAAAGCCCGTCGAATTAACATGATCAAATTGAAGCCTTGGTCAATTAATTAGACGTTTATCTACTTGGGCCTCATAATACCATCTAGAATTTAAATTCATTGACAATAAAGGGATTTTCTATGTATTTAGTAAGGGCATTATTATAGAGAGTTTAATGTCTTCATAATAATAGTTTAAATCGTCGTTCTCATCATTTTTAAACAATGACACTATAAATACATAAAATGATTTATGATTAACTAATACAAATTGACCTTGTACAACTTTTGTATAATACATTTTAACCTACAATACCATTGAGACGGAGTTAGATGTGGTGTCAGCATATGATTCCCTTCGATATGAAGGAAAGTGAACAACTTAGGAAAAAGTGGAAAAAATGATCCAGAGCTTACACTGACATTGTGACTGTTTCACGTCATCGAGCAAATTGGCATTCAAAGAAACAAAATATTTGTCCAGGAACGAATGGAATAATTATATTGACAATCAAGGCGTCTGTATGATTCGTTGTATGAAGCGTTTTTCTCCCTCAATTTTTTCATAAAAAAGACTAGACATGAATTCAGTCTAAAAAGCATTTTACGCCCAAAGCTACACCCATCTATAATTTTTGGTTTGCCCTAGAGAGGTACCACATAAAAAAGAGATTTTATTTTCTCTCAGCCTTTTCTTTTCACTCCTCTTCTCTTTTCATGTAACCCCAGTAAATCTAGATTTGTCAACATACGGGCCTGGGACTATAGAAAGAAAATCGATAACAATATTTTCAACGTGTTCGCATAAGAACGAAAAGGGTTCACAATTTTGGACTCGTGTTTGGTGTGGGAAGGTTTAATTAAAACAGAAACCTGCGAGCAGCGGAGGGCTGCAAATATTATTGGCTTGGACTTGGTAAAATGGTGCGTATCAAGAAGGAGTAAACGAGAGAGAGAGAGAGAGAGAGAGAGAGAGAAAGAGAGAGAGAGAGATATATATATACATATAAAGAGTGTTTAGATTTATCATGCAAGAGAGATAGAGAGAGAGAGAGAGAGAGAGAGAACAAATGAAGACAAAAGGGAGAGATGACATCAAACAGTAAAGAAAAGAAAGAAAGGAAAGAAAGAAAGAAAGAAATACATAACAAAATTTATTAAGAAATTAAAGAGTAAAAAGAAAATGAAATTCCAACGGATTAGAAATTAAAGAATAGAGAAGCTGGAGTTAGAACTGAAATGAAACACACATCTCGTAGTTCTTAATAAGTAATAGTAATTATAGCAAGTAAGACTATGTATGATGAGTATAAAACGAAGGTATAATTGAGAGAAAGAAAGAGTTACAAACCGACAAAAGGCAGATACAGAAAGAGAAATACAGACAGAAAAACAGAGAAACAGAGAGAGAGAGAGAGAGAGAGAGAGAGAGAGAGAGGGTTAGGAGGGACTGGGAGAGTAAAAGCCAGGTAAAATGGGATATCCTTTCTCATAATTTCGATGTACATACTAACCCAGATGATCGAAAGACAATTTTATAAAGCCATTTTAATAATCCATCTGTATTTGGAAAATAGCCTAGTCATATTTCTTTACGATAATTCGATTGTGAGTACGAAACGTTAACATCTACCAGGAATTCAATTCAAGTAGTATTAGTAAGAGCATTTTATTGTACAGGCAAGAGAAGGAGAAAAGAGAGTAAGGGAGGGAAGGAAAGAGAGAGAGAGAGAGAGACGTTTTGCGCATGCTCTTCCAAAGCGCGCAACAAAGTTAATTCTTACTGCGAATAGATTCAACCTGTTGCGTGGTGTGCGATTTATCTCAGATGGTAGTTAAGACGATCTGAGTTGAACATCTATCCACTTGGCTGCCTCTCTTTTGGCTTCTTAACTTATCTCCTTTCTTCGTTGTCAAGAAGAAAGGTGGAGAAGCCCTGATTACCTATTCTAATCACCAATTCCTTGGATTTTGGAAAGATTTTTAAACTCAAACTGAACTCGTCCACTGGATTCTGTACGCAGAGACTTGTCAGCCTGCAAAGGAGCTCAATCTGTCTCAATTATTCAGATCAAAAGTTTCGTCCATTTTAAACAATTTCGCATCTTCTCATCACACTGGTATGTAAACCAAATACTGATATTTTGTAGAATGTAATGCTTGGTAAACAATACAACGATCGTCATCGTGTTTGTTTGCAATTAGAACAAATGACGATACCAAACCGCGTTCTACTTTATAACTTAAACTATACCATCAAAGACGAGATTGTAACAAGAATACGTCTAAAAGTCCGTCCAAATTAATTGTGACTCTAGGTCTAGAACAGAGGGTCTTATTCTGCCAGTCAAAGTCAAAGTCAAGTGCACTCCCCAATTAACTCTCAAGTTTATCGTACTTTCAACTACAACTTTGTGAGCCAAATACCCGTTTCATATGAATAGCTACCTACATCTAAAATGATCCTTTGAAATGTCGGAAGCAGGTCTATTCACTCTTTTGATTTCAATGACCATTTATTATTAAACATAGAGACACTAGGAGATTGTGGTTGAAAACAAATACCTTGCACACATTATGATGTTAGAAGAAGGAGAAGAAGAAGAGGAAACAATGCGGTAATTGGGGCGAGTCGAAATCAAAAGTCAGAACTTGTGCTTTTCTAGTAGTGTTTATTTCTAAATTGTCCTCGTGATCATCTTCAGTAATATTTCCAATGTTATAACAACATAAATCAGCCGTAATTATTTCCATGTTTTGCATATGTTGACAAGCTTTATCATGTTTATCCTAAAGGTATGTTGATTTAAGAGAAAGGTATTAAAGAAACGTCAAACAGCACACTGTCGTCGCCATTTTTCCTCTCCGAATAAAGGTTTTGCCGGAGAGAGGCCTTCCGTTTTCCGGGGGTATTTGTCTAATAGTTGTCTCATACGTTTACTTTAATCGGTATTTAATATCAGAATGAGAACAGGGATAGATGAAAATCTTAAAACTGGAAACGTTCTATAGATATAATACAAAGCATACACTAGTATGAAAATCATTATCAATCTTTGGAATTATCATAGAGATTTATTCTATTCTACATGTTCTTCTTAGACATAGAAGTACATTTATTTACATGGTAACGTCATTCTCCTCCTCATCAGTAGGACATCTGATAGTCAATCTCTAAGTCGATGAATACCACTCGAAATCGAGGAAATTACTCTATTTCTGTCCGATTCCTTGTGGAGTAAAGCATGTGGTTTGTCTCAAGAAATGATGTTGAAGATATTGGTAGACTAGCCTAACAGCTTGACAGTTACATGACAGCTTAAACCAACAAGAGTTCAAAACTCACACTGGTCCAGACAGTGTACATCTGTGTAAAACAAACATACACGCAGGTATACCTGGAAAATGGTCTTTGATTTGTGGGATGAGAGGTAAAATAATAATTAACCTGTTTCTAAGCTTTCATGGACTAACAACTGCGAAAGGATAACGAAGCCTATACCATAATTGTATTACCATCAGCTCATGATGTAATCCATGTAATGGTCATAGTTAAGAACTGGTATTAAAAAAGAAATCGGATACATTGAATTCTCAAAGAGTATGGCAAAGCCTTTAAACAATATATGGTAAGAAAACGTCATAGCATGTATGATTATTAGAATACAACCACTATTTGACATCTCAATGATGAGGCAAAACTTATGGAAGGTCGTTACATAAAAAAATTAGTTAATATAGTAACCTATGCTTTTATGGTTTTTGTTTTCCTTATAACACGGAACATTTGCAACTCTTTATTTTCCAGAGTAGTATCTAGGATTTTCAGAAGGAAAAGTTTTTTTTAAATTTGCTGTAATATCATGGTTCACTAATATTAATGTTTATTTATGATTCTCTATGAACAGGTGAGGTGGATATTTCGACCTAACTCTTTTTTAATGAATACATTTAATTCGAATACCAACAACTTTATGATTGTTCTTAAATTTTGCTACATTACAAATTGAACTTTTGATTTATGCCGTCAAATCTGAATCGTCTTTTATCATGAAATAATATTTCATCGTGTGTGACTAAAGGTTGATTTACAATAATCATTTGTACCAATTGTGTTCAAAACACTTCAAACAAAAGCTGGTTGTGAGTAAGTGACATGTTATTAAGTCACCTCTCCTCAACAATGACTCGTCAGTTTGGAAGTCTAAATCAAGTGGTATATTCGGTTTGAAATAAACTTTACCTAAATCTATAGATGAGGGATATGTTTTGCTTTATCACGAATGCTCTTTTTTTGGAGAAAAGATGAGATTCTAACTATTATCATCCATCCATCCCCTTACTCTAAAAACTTAGCAGACCCTCAAAATGTTGTCATGGAAACTGTGGAGTCGCATTTTGCCGGAAAGCATCAATATTTAGGCTTTCGAACCTTTGAAACGTGATATCGCTTACATTCATTTCTTCCTGTCTTTCTCTCTACAGTATATGTAAGTGATCGTGTGAGGTGATTCGTACCAATATGGATAACGCTGTTGCACCCGGAGGTCCTAAGCAGGACAAAGTGTACGCCTTTAACTTGAATCCAGTGGGGGGTAAGTTCGGTGCCCTTATATCGCCCTTTTCCCTTTTGCTCAATTGCTCTATCTTGGCCTGATTTAGCCCTTGTCTGTCAATACTTTATACGATATACAGACTGTACTTGTTACATTCCTTTCCTCGACAACTGCAAATTATTTGTTTCCTTTTTTTAAATATTTTATTGAAAGTGTCCCTTTTATACTTTTAAGATTATTACTCTTCCGTTTGACTTTTGCCTATTATTCATATTCCCTATTTTTTTTCTTAAAATATTTTTTTAAAAAGCAGTTTTGCAAGTCTATAGTTCTATGTAAGCGTGATAACCTTCTTCCGTGTATTATATTCCCACAGCTTTACTACTTTTGACTTCATTTTCCTAGATCTACATGGAAAAATATGTTTTCATTTTAGTATTAGATTTACAAACATTATAATTATCGAGAGGGGGAATAAAACCCTTATAATATTTCCAATGATAAGAAAAGGTTACAATGACTCTTTAAGATATGGAATTTGGTAAGTAATCGTTAAAAATACATGATAATGGTAAATTTGATTAGGTTAAATTATATGACAAACATTCTTTCCATGTCCCTTTTAGAGGGCGTTGCTTGGAGTGATGACAATGATAATTATACTGATGGTGATGATGATGTAATAATAAGATAAACACAACAATTACAATCACAACAACAACAATAGTGATAATAATGATAATAATGATAATAATAATCATAATGATAATAATGATAATAATAATGATAATAAAAAAGAAGAAGAAAACAAAGAATAATGATGATGATGATGATAATAATAATAACAATACTACTACTACTACTACTACTACTACTACTACTACTATACCACTACTACTTCTACTACCACTTCCTCTAATAATACAAATTTATTCTGTCAAGAAGAACTTGTGTTTTATTAAACATTTAGTCACAAATTTGTATCATTTGGAATCATCGTTTATTCACCTTGCTATGCAAGGAAAATAGATTATTAAATTGTTCCTTGTTGATTTCTATATCTGATTCTTCTCTTGAGCGTAACGCTGCGTGGAAAAGCTTTGCACTTTCGATGCCTGAATGCAACACCTCTTGTAAAGAAAACAAGGTAAAACACGAGTTAATCAACGCAATGCTTGTAATTTTCATGTCGAAGTAATCTTTTGTACGATATTAATCTAAAGTGAAGGCTCAAAGGCCGCGTTAATCACTGGCGCAGTTTTACGACAGGAGATAAACGACGCCTTGTATGCAATCTGGTGAAATTTACCAACACTTTTTGAGACTAGCTGCATGCGTGACAATCGAAATAAATAACCTTGAAACTAATCTCCCAACTCATATCTTTTGCAGAATATAACTTGAACGAAGTCGCGAGATGCCTCTTCTATTCTCAATTGGGCCTAAAGAGGAAATTCATATTGCTTAATTGTATCGTTACATACAAAAATCTGTAAAGAGGTTTAGCTTTCGTTTGCCAATTTTGAAAAGATGCGTATTGTCTTTTGCACACGAGGCGTCATTCGTTGGCGGAGTGCTGCGTCAGTCACTAGCGCGATCTGTAAAGATGATGGTGGCGGAGTGCTGCGTCAGTCACTAGCGTGATCCCTGAAGAATTTGTTTATAGCTCCTACGCACTAGTTTGGCCAGAAGGGATTATACCTGCATGCATGGTCACTGACAGGTGGTCATCTCATCAAATACGCTCTCAATTAGCATAGGAAAAGAGGATCATGGGTGACCAATGGTCACCGATTATGCATTGTTTGCTATATAGAGGGCGCAAGTAGCTATAAGTAGTGCAGTGGGACTTTGAGTCACATCGTACAAGCAGTTCATGTAAAATGAATAGTGCATTATGATCAATGACGCCGCACGTTCAACATGCACTGCTCTCGAAGACTGTCCTCGAAGTGACATGATCGCCTTGCTATATTCATATATGGGAGGGGGGGGGGGGGGAATGTTGGTAACTCGAAGACTTGAAACTTCATTTTTCAAATGAGACGTCAATTCGATCGCATTATTACCTGCGCTAATGAAGCCTTTCATTGAAAGCAATTTTTGTTTCGTTAATTTGCTTGGTGCGTCAAAGACCACACTACTTAATAAGCTTTCATTTTTGCATCAAGATAATAGTGTACTTAATTTGGGGCGCCCTTTCGTTAGTCCTTGTGGATACAAAGCTTCCAGCCCACAGTCCATATCCATAATCTTTATCTCGTCGATGTTTTTCTAAGATAAAGGTATAAATTAAAAATTAAACCCGATAAAACTTAACGACCTCTTTCCTAAATATTATACAAATTGGAATTCCTTTTCTTTACACCCGATCATGCAGTTTTAAAATTAAACATGGAAATTAAAAGCATCATAATATGGAGAAAAGAAACCTATCATGTACTAATCATGGTAACTTTTGATTAGATGTAAATATCTAAACCAAATTAAACCAACAGAACAAAATGTCACAATACAATAAAAAACAAGAAATGAAAAAGAACAGACTATTCTTTATTTCTCTTATTCAAATAAATTGATGTCAAATTTGATAGTATCATTAACTGTTATTAAAAAAACCTAAATAATATGATATTCCAACATTGTTCATTGAAATAGATGTTGCATAAAGCTGAGAAACCATAGTCCATTAAATGAACATTTCATCATACCCCCCCCCCCCAAAAAAAAAAACTCTTTGTCTTGTATGTCAAATGCAATCAAGAGATAAGTATGAATCAGAGAACTTGTACTGAAAAGTTCAACAATAATAAAATGAATCATTGAACGAACAGTTCACTTATAAAACCAGGCTTGCCAAAGACTGATTTTTGTGTATTTGTTATATTAGTAGTTTAGGTAAGATCTCCAACGTTGACTAACTATCCTTGTTTTACGTTCCTGGAAAAGAAAAGTTTGGAGAGTTGAAGAAAGTGAAACTGAAAATGGCGGGAGACGGGTGGTGGAGACGGGTAGAAGATGGTAATGAATAGGCTGGTTTCAAGTAAGCACTCTCCGTCTCCTTATCAATCGATAAATGCACTGAATAGCCCCAAGCTCTATACCTGGATGCCTGCCGAGCAAAGTTAAATGAATACAACCTTGTTCACATTTAAGATTTCAGTCGGTCTGTCTTTCTATCTCTCTCTCTCGCTCTCTCTCTTTTCTTATCTCTCTTCTTATCTCTCTTTCCGTCTCTCTCACTCTCTTCTTACTTCCTATCTCTCTTTCTGTCTCTCTCACTCTCTTCTTATCTCTCTCTTTTTTCTATAATCTTTCCTTGTATATCTCTTTCTATCTATATTCTTATCCCTCTTCGTATCTCTCTTCTTATCTGTCTATCTTCGTATATCTCTTTCTGTCTCTTCCTCTTTTGACTCTTCCTCTTTTTCTCATTCCCTCTTGAAGTGGAAAAGGAGGAGAGGGAAAGGGAGAGGAAGAGAGAAAGAGAGAGAGAGAGAGAGAGAGAAAGAGAAAGAGAAGGGGGAGACAGATGCTTTGTAGCAACCGCAATAGAGAGAAATATAAAAATAACTATGGAAAGAAGTTTAATTTTCACATAAAATTACATGGGTTGGATACGCACCCCATGATTTTCTGTTCGTAGTATTAGTAGACGTAATAGAAGTAGTAGTAGTAGTAGAAGTAGTAGTATCGGAATAGTAGTGGTGGGGTGGTGGTATAAGTAGTAGTATTAGTAGTAGTACAAGTAGTATTAGTAGTATTAGTATTAGTAGTAGTAGTTGTAGTAATAGTAGTAGTACATATAGTAGTATAAGTAGCAGTAGCAGCAGTAGTAGTAGTATAATAGTAACAGTATTAATAGTAGTATTAGTAGTATTACAAGTAGTAGTTGTAGTAATAGTAGTACATAGAGTAGTATAAGTAGCAGTAGCAGTAGTAGTAGTAGTATAATAGTAATAGTATTAATAGTAGTATTAGTAGTAGTACAAGTAGTAGTAGAAGTAGAAGTAGTAGAAGTAGTAGTAGTAGTAGTAGTAGTAGTAGTAGTAGTAGTACAAGTAGTAGTTGTAGTAATAGTAGTACATAGAGTAGTATAAGTAGCAGTAGCAGTAGTAGTAGTAGTATAATAGTAATAGTATTAATAGTATTATTAGTAGTAGCACAAGTAGTAGTAGAAGTAGAAGTAGTAGTAGTAGTAGTAGTAGAAATAGTAGTAGTAGTAGCAGTAGTAGTAGTAGTATAGTATTAGTATTAGTATTAGTAGTAGTAGTAGTAGTAGAAGAAGAAGAAGTAGTAGTAGTAGTAGTAGTAGTAGTAGCAGTAGTAGTAGTAAAAGTAGTAGGAGTAGTAGTAGTAGTAGTAGTAGTAGTAGTAGTAGTAGTAGAAGAAGTAGTGGTAGATTGGTATTGGTAGCAGTAGTCATGATACTTATATTATGCAGTGTAGCCACAAACTGTCCCTGGTTGTTTAATATCACTCACTCTGATTTAGTTTAATTTCTGAATCGAATCGATCTCAGTGATATTAGGCGAATGTTTACTCGTTGTGTTGTGTTACTCGGCTGTCAATTCGACAAACTTGACAAACTAGTTCGACCAACTGTCCGACGAACTTGCAGGGCAAATAAAAACAGGCATGTATCAACATTATAGCGTATCACTTACACAAATTCATATTTAAATCGATGAAGACCCATCAAACCCTAGGGAATGAACGCTGGCTGGTGACAAATATCGGTCGTTGAAAGAAAAGTAGAAGACATAACATGAGAGAAGCGACAAGTGGCAGAATGGTAATGATTGTTAGTAAGATCCACTGAGTCAGCTTGAGTTTACTTCTCTGCAACCTTGATTACCAGGAGCAATTTCCCCGAAATAGAATATGTTTTATATTATTTTAATATCTCTCCAAGGATGGGAGCATCGGCCCCATTTAGTCCACCACTCGACCGCTATTGACAGTCGTTGTCAAATACAGGAAACTCACCTTTCTTTGCACCTTTCTTCAGAAATTAGTTGACATCGAAAGACTTTTAG